GAATGTGGATTAAAGATAACTGAGGTAAGATGAAGAAAATCAAAAGTGGACTTTCCTCTATGTACTCGTTACCCTTTTTGATTGATTCGCACTGCATCCCCAATACTGTTTTGTCTACTCAGTCACTAAAAACACTCGAGGGGAACGAAACCTGAACTTGAATCGCAAATAAATCAGAAAAAAACTATAAAGTACAATACTTAAGTGTATATTTAGAGGATCAATCTTCTATTGACGTAAAACTGTCTCACGATCGGAAGAAAATCCGTTGTATTCCACTTCTGTAAATTAATTCGGCAGCATCTCAAGATACCTGGTGATTTATTTATTGCAGATCCATTTTCACTTGTCTTTATGAAGCTTTCCAAACCAAGTTTGAACTATTTCAGCGCAACTAACAAGAAGGGGAAGAATATGATCAGAAGGGCACCTTTCCCGTTTGGACGCAAGTCCGGAAATCAGATGGAAACTGTTAGAAAGACGCACAGATATCAGTTTCACAGGGTGTTAACCGCGAAGAAGAAATGACTGTGTAGGACAGGATTCTGGCACAGAGCACACCGCAAATAGTTACCCTGGAATTTCTATGGAATTTATGCCGCAAATAAAAAAAATACACACTTGCTTTATACCGAAAGAATCAGCGCAAAAAATAGTTGATAAGATTCATTCTATCCAAACTAAATTGTTATTGTGTGTTTTATCTCATTTCGACCGTGATAGGCACCAATAATTTCAAAGGAATATATATGTATATATATAAAGGAATATATATGTGAATGGTAGCCATTTGCATTACTTTCTGAGCATCCCTCTCAAGATACCCTTTTGGAGTTTATCATTCATATTCGGAAATATACCTAATTATCTTACTTGAATTACAACGGAGGCTCTCTTGTACGGTAACTTATCCACTAATTGTTAGCGCTCAAGTACCCTATTGCACTTACTAACACTGGCCACAGCAAAGATCATCCTTCAGTTTGACCTCTCAGTCCCACACATTCACTGCCCCAACCCCAAAACACGAAACACAAGCAACCTGCTGCGTCTATCGCTCGAAGATGCCCTCAGGTCAATGGGTGAAGTAATTTTGAGTTACTCTCTCGCTCTCTGTTCTGCTTCGGTACGTTATTGTCTGCTGTCCACGTTGAAGTCAGAAAAAAAACAAGCATGAGTATCTCATGGTATCAATCGTTTTTGTTGTTCCTTGTACAACTATATTCAATTTAATCTTTTGTTGATAGTTGGCAGCTGGAAATTTGCGCTTTTTCAGGACAACTCAACAAATAGGGTTTCATCGAGTTTGCGAGCATTCACCGGTACACCACACTACTTTGGTATTAAGTGGCAACTTTATCACTCCTGGCAATAACTGGTATCGTGTTGCGGCTTTGTTTCATATTAGACGGCGGTTCATAGTTCTACCGTCAGGAGTAGTATGTGGATAAAACGTGTCTAGAGTTTTCTAATTACTGAGGTGGGATTATGTGGGTCAATTAATTGCATGTGTGTGTGTGTGTGCATGTGAATGTTACGTTTTTGATCCTATATTCCCGGGAATCGCGATTAATTCATATTAGCCTGTTTAGCATCTCCAAGTGGCTGGTTTGACACTGTGGAAGAAGTAGATAAATGCGTGTCGATCCCTGTTTCAATTCCCTTTTTAGATGACCTATTCCCACGACCAAACATTACGTCAGATTAATGTCATCATCCTAATACTGCATAGATGTAATTATATATATATATATATACCTTTAGATATCACAAGCAATTGTGAGTAGTATAGAGCAAATTAAATTTATTTCAGTGCTCTGGAGTTCAAATTCGGACGACTCGTGCATATGCACTGTTGCCAATCAGCTCTAACAGAAGCCAAACTTAAGTCCGATGCTAACTAAACTTACCTGACTGAGCTGCGATGCGTGCGTGAAGGATGAATAAAACTCTTTCGAAGTTATCCACAATTTTTGCGGCGAACGCAAACACGGCTAATGAGCAGCATCCGTTATTTCCTGATGTGCACGTGCAAATTGTTATTAGGCACATATATTCTGTTCCCAATGCATCCGTAGTTTGTGCAGCGTCCTGACCCTATTTACGTGTCCTGTTAGTTCACGTCCGTCACTCCGATCGCCCCGGTCTCACTGCGTTCCTGACTTTTTCCCATCCATCGTCTGACAAATGGTACAATGGAGAAAAAAAAATATGAATGAGAGCGAGATGTCCCCGTAGCCGTTGGGTGTAAAGATTTTCCGGTCGACTGCACTTGAAACGGGACCATTCGTCTGAATCAATGCTGCATGAATTGATGCCCGCCTAGTGGGAACGTGATCGATTCTGTTCGGGCGTTTTTTTTTACGCAGGGGGAGAAGGAAGGAGATGAGAGACAATAATTGATGTTAATGCTGTCTGTTCAAGAGCGTAATAGAGAGACACGGTATTTTGGAACGGAAAGCAAATTTCGGAATGGTTCATCGAGCTCTGAAACCTGTTGACAAAAAAAAGAACAAAAACGTTGAAAACCGCGGATTCAATTCAACCCCAATGGAACTCGTTCTACCATCGTTTTGGATCATGTTTTCAAATCTGTTTTTATTTTACTCGGATGTGTTCAGACATTTTGTGAACCGTGTCAGAGTAAACTTCAGAAAGAAGACTGCAACTTGTACCGATTCACTCGTTTGTGGTGTACAGCCTTATCCGGTACACCGTCTTAGGAGATCGTATTTTGTCCCTCCAGTCAGGAGATTGTATCACGAATTTACGGTGAACAGATCCGGAGATAGACAATATGCTGACAGATGATGCGAATCAGCCTCTGATCTTTCATCTATCTTTATTTCGCGTTTGAAACTATCACCAGCTGACTGCCCAGCTAATTTTATTTATAGTGTGGCAATCAATTAGCTGTACTGTTGTCTACACCCAACGCATCCGGATGGCTTATTGAAGAGTCTGGCGAAATTTTTTTTCTCTAGCCGAGTTGAGTTTGTTACAAAATTAGCGATGGGCCGTTTTTGGGGAAACCCACATGGTTTCCCCGTAAGAAAACATCGAAATGACTTACCATCAAACCGGCAAAAGAAACTTCCGGAACTTGACTCTTGCGGTTATTTTTTGTTCCTGTGATTCCTCCTTTTAATGCTGAAAAAAGACCCGCGGAAAGCACAACTTAGCCCTCTTACAGCTGTTAACGTCTATGCCAATGAATGTCAATTACAATACTCGCTTTTCCTCCCTCGTGCTGCCAGCATTATTAACCACAGTTATACGCTTTACATTAATCTGACCATAGATGCACTGTAAACCGTTTTGTTCGTCATATGGTTTTATTCCGGCTTTTTCGAACACATTCGTCCATGAGGATTTTAAAGTCACTTATCACCGCGGAATCCTCATCTTGTAGTGATGATTACCTGAGTTGATCAGAAAAAAATAAGGAAAGATGCGTGAGCGCTATATATACCGTGCGTTCAATTTTCTTCACAGATGGCAATGATTGGTCCCTTCATTGACAATTAGTTGTGTGGTTGTCTCTGAATGGGTTCCAGTTTTGACCTCAATCAGTGTGCCGTTGTCGACCATGGTCTTCATGGTGTACAAGTTATTTGAATGTACCGAACCGACGATCGTACCGCTGGATATTCATTCCATCTCTCAACTTGCCAATGAACGCATTCGTTTTTGCACTATCAGCTGTTCAGTTTTTTTGTTTACCGAAATGGGGTAGCGGTCAGGGTAACACTGTGATAGCGACCCGAGTCACTGTTTTCAACACATCATCAGCGCGTAATGCAGCAGGTTGATCGTTCTTTAGTGGTACAATGTCTCTCAGCGCATTGCCAAGTTTTAGTCCTTCGCGGGTCATCGTTTTGTTACAGTGGTCAGGCGGTGTACGTCGTTATCACATTGCTCCACATGTCGTGTGTTCCAACCCCACCGCCACTACACACCTGTTCATATTCTATGATAGTCTTTTTCTGGACAACTTTCCCTTCCGGAGATTAGTTGTAAAAGTGTTTTTCTTTTCTTAAAAAATAAATCCCTTAGTTGTTGAAATGTCTAAAGTTACTCCTGGTCCCATTGACAAATATCACCATTGCACTTCCGCCCTTGCAAGCCGTTTATCGTTGCTGTAATCTCTGCGTGTGTGTGTGTGTGTGAAAATCTAATCCACATCACTTTCTCACATTTCGGTCGTTTGTTTGTTTATTATTATCACTGTTTTTCATCAGGATAACGTTGCGGAACGATTGAGATTGATCGAATCGGTCACAGATCAATTGGGCTTTGTTTCCAACGTCCGTTTACGTGACTGGATGAAATCGGGTGTCGATGAGGAGAGTACTTGGCGATCGAAAATGATCGTTTTCGAATGAACGAACAGACATCCAGATCGAGCTTTCGAATCTCATATCACAGGGATTTTTTGCATCATTTCTTTCTGAACGCTCCTCAACATAGAATTGTCAGATTTATTGCCATTGCATTTCCGTTTTTATACTTATTCACTAACATCGAATTTGTCTCTTTTTGAGATGGGAATAAAGTAAATTTTTGTTCCATTATCATTTTCAATTGTACTACCTGTGGAAGCTGCGGTATTAGAGCTTATTTCGACCGGGACATGATGGGGGAAAACGTATTACTATAATTCCAGAAGGCGGTGCTGGTCGAGGGTAGTCCTTTGTTGAGGATTATAGTTGGGACATCACTTATTTGGTATACATAACACAGAAATCTCATCAGAAACACACCATCGCAGTTCCTGATTGCCCAACGGGTAATAACTGTAACAATCGATAGTTATTCTTTGAGATACAGTAATTTGCCCTCCGTTATCTTGTTGATTTTTGATTGTTGAAATAAACCACCAACGATGTTACCTACTACTCACAAATGAGTAGAGCTTCATGACAGTGTGATCTAACTAGACATACTGATTCATTTTAATCTGAAGGCTATCTGTTACGTTATCATCTCATGTGCCCCGGTTACCATGTACGTATTGTGCGAACGCTAGACCACACAGGCATACATACACACTACTGACTGGATCGTTTTAGCACAAACCCTGATTTTATTTGTACCCCGATAGGCGCGTGTACATCATGTTTACTTGTTGTTTTTTCAACTCTTCACATCAAACATTTCGTTTGTGACGGTTTGATGATTCTACCGGCCGAAACACCGGGTGATTTTTCCAATGCCTCATGAATTGCCGCAAAATGGAATTGTCCAGTGTTCCACAATATATACTATCGTTATTCGTTTATCGGACCTTGCGAAACACAAGTACAACGTACAAATATAACTGTGAGAGTATGGCGCCATATGGTTACTTTCTCGTTTAAAATGTGTAGGAGTGGGGAGCATTGCGCAGAAGAATAAACGCGGAAAGCTCAAAAACCAGGTTTGGTGGGTCAACATTGTGTTTGACAAGCAGATACTAAGTGAAGCGATTTAAACGATTAATTTTTCGGGTCAGTCGGTGGGTAAATTGTCAAAGTGACCATCACTTCGTCCCGGAAGTTGTTTGAGCCGCACCACTTTTTCTTAACCCCGCTTCTCCTTTTCATTTCGTATCACATTGGTCACTTCCTCCCCCCTGAAAAATTGCTACTGCAATTGTGTTCGCTGAATATGTGTAATGGTCAACGCGCAACTCCACTGAAAAGCCCTAATGGCACTGTAAAGTTGTTGCATCCTTGCTACAAATCATCAACATTGCATAACGAATAAATTTACTTTTGGATTTCAACACGAGTTTTGACGCGCTAACAGCATAGATAAATTGAGTTGTTCGCCGGCAGTTTACTGCACAAAATCACGTGATGAAGCTTGTTAGACTTGCTCAGATACTGAGTGATCTCCCGATGTAGGAACTCTCAGTCGGGTTCTATTAAGACAGTGCAAGAAACCTGACCTGGCGAAAATGGATATTCTCTGGCGATTAGTCGATGAATTTCGGTCTGCTGCGTGACTTCCACATCATTTCGATATTCTTTCGTCTTCCGTTTTATCACAACAAACGTCGCTCATTACGCCGTGACATAGACACGATCATACCCAATGAACCCAACGAGAATGAGAGGAAAGTTTGTTGCGCACCATTTTCTGGTACCGCTCCAAAATGGAAGATCAGGTTTTATTGCAGAGAATGAAACGTCCGCGATCCGCATTCTGCTGCTGAAAATAAAAATATGAGTTTCCGTTGTCTGATTAAAGTCGTCCCGGTACTACACTGTTTGCGAATGTCGCAATCAGATACACGACCACAACGGACACGAATCCGTCCGATGGGACTGAATCAGCTCATCTCGAGGAAACATCCGGGTTACATTCATCCGTTCACTAGGACACGACACATGGATACACGTTTTCGAGCGGGGATGTGGTGTGTCAGATTTGTTGCAAATTCGATAGTTAAAAATTGTCGGATTTACGCCTTTGTGATCGGGGCTATTCATTCCTCGGGCGGAGATTTTCTCCGTCTTTTTTTCTTTCTGTCCAAAGTTGGCCATTGATTGTTATATTGCGATGACTGGGAACTTAAGAAAATGGCAGTTTTCTGTAATATCCATTTTTCATAAACTGCCTGTTTATTGCTTATTTTCATGGTTTGCTCAAATCTGCCGGGAATGATTGCAAATTCTTTTTGTTCGATAAATCCGAATGAGGAATTAATCGTATTCTAGTGAATTTCATCACGATAGGTTTTTTTCGGTTCTCTTGTGCATGTGGATGGATTTCAAATCCAAACTTTAACTGCGAAATTTTTATTATCCATTCAAAACGATATTTGCATTTGTCATGTCTTTCGATGGCCCCACAGTTGCAACAAAGTGATAGTGAGTTCAAAACGATAACACTGTCACTCTCAATGTGTAGGTGATAAATTGACAATTGATCACGGGCTAGCCGGAAGAGGAGAGGAAAAATATTCGTCTCAATTCGTTTGAGTTTCTATCCGCAATACCAAGTTATCCGGGCGCTCCGAAAACAGGAGTAGCTCAACAGTTCGGCTCCTTCGTGATTACTCACACGTTTCTCTGTTGTTCAGATTATTAATGCATGTAGTTCTCTGTTTTTTTCACCGCATGTCAGTAATCACTTGAATTGTATGATGCACGTGTGCGTCATAAAACCAAGCCTTTGTTATTTCATTCCATACTTCGAGTACATCCGTGTCTGGATAGTCCCGCTATCAGTTAATTTATGCTTGATTTCGAAGGGAGAACAATACGGTAAAATGCAATGCGTAGTCAGCACAATCTGGTAATTTGCTAACTCAGTGCACTAATCTCCCCTTGGATTGGTACCCGGTTTATACTATTTTCACTCAGGAATGGCTAAGCAACAGCACATTTTGATAGATAACGAAGATGTCTACGCGTCACTTGTCAACTCACCACTCTCACCCAGATGATTCTCAGCTGTTCAAATAAACTTGCGTTTCTAACTTGCTGACTGACTGACTGACTCATTTCCACTTTGGACACAATTCAGAGACATTCCGTTTTTTTCTTCATGAGCGTTCCACAAAATATCCGACTTCAGTTTGAAGCTCATTTGTTTTCTCTCTTCTCCGCGGTGCTGTTCGAAACACATCCACACACTGAGATACACCCCACGCGAAGGCGCGGGCGATGATGCGGTCCACTCATAGTTCACGCACATCCCCTGGGGTACAAAAAGGCGTCCTGATGTCCGGGGCAATTTTCATCATGTGGGTTGCACACGAGTACGGTGTCTATCGATTTGTGTGTGTGCTTGCATAGTGATCACGCTAAAGTACTTCCCTTGCTCTTTTTCCCGCACATACTGTCGTACATATGACGTGACTTTCAGTGGGAACAGGTGTTATTTTTTTCTCTGCAGTTTTTTTCTCCACTCTCAAGACTAGTCAGTTTTTCCTGACTGGGGATAATTAATTTCTGTAAACCGTGGGTCGGAACACCAGCGGGAGTCTGAACAGTCATCGACGGCTTCATTTACCTTATCAGGTTCTATTGTGTTCACTGCTGCTCTATTATCCTGTTTTTTTACCCGTATCTCTCCTTACAGTCCACTTCGTTTTGGTGGTCGGTTAGATTAAACTGTAAATCATGTCCGTTGGCTAACCAACTAATCTTTCCGAGGTATCCAAAAATGTCCTTTGGGCCCTGTTCTTCCTTTGCTTGAGGGATAAAAACATAGAACAACATCGATCGCGGTTATTTGTGCTCGTCTGATGCATGCCGATCCACAAAACCGATGATTGAATATACTGAGCGGAAAAAAAAACAATTTAGTTGCACGACGGCACAGTTGGTTGAAGCGTGGATAGGGGAGATCAAACAGGAGTTTGCTCTGCTTGACAATTTTATGATCCGCCGCTTTCGACAAACTCGTTTCACGTTCTAGCAGTGATCGGCAAACAAAAGGTGGCTGCGTAAAAGATCAACCTATGGTCTCTCCTTGAAAACGTGACTTCAGACAAAAACACAAACATTCGTCGTTGAAGAGCACATGCAAACAACAAAATCATCGTCCACCGCAGTTTACCGAAACTACTACTAGTAGATGGCTTTCACCCAGTTTTCTGTCCTCGTAGGGCTGATAGCTGCTCATTCACCGTTGTTGCCTGTATTTTTGAACTTTGACCGTCCCTCAAGCCATCCCGCTTAGTGATTGATCTAATTGTTGTGTTCCTTTATTTGATACCAAGATACGTTTCTTATTGTTGGCTATGATAGATTGTCAATGTAAAATATATGTGCAGCTGACTGAGAAAAGCTGAAGTGAATTTCTGCAGAAACGTGTTTTCCTCTCAGTGTTAAAACCTGTCCCCGTTAGTTCATCACAACAAATGAGAGCGGTGATTGTATCCGTAAACTGGAGTTCAGCGATCCTCCTCAAGTTGCACTCCCGGGTATTCATGTAGCCCACGGCTCCTTGTTCAGTCAACGGAGTAGGCGAACAACACAGAAGATAACGTACAACCTCGTCGATCTTCTGAGTTCAAGATAAATTTTTCTTCGTAGGCGCATATTAGCTGGAATATGCGAATATCGTTAGCTTCTCAGACAGGACACCTTATTGCAATTCTATGCTTCACAACGAGTTTCGGTGAACGGAACAAAAGACAATGCGATGCGGTCAATGAATCAGGCTTTTTTGGCTACCTGAGTCTGTCCCAGGATTCCGAGATCCGACGTACAGTAAATTTGTGAAGCTATCTTTGTTTTCACTGGTACCCGTAGCTCTTGCTGCTGACCAACGACTGAGCAGTATCTATATGAGAATTTCGTTCCACAATTGAACCAGATTGACTCAGTCGTAGTTCTCGCACAGCTTGGCAATGTTTTGGGGTATGAGTAGCAGAACCGGGGTAGCC